TAAAAACAATTTTTGAAAGACGAATACTTCATGTGAGTCATGTAAAAAAAGCGTTGCGAACAATGTCGAAAGAACGACAAATTTGTGAACTTCGCTCAGCAAATACTGCTTTCTCTTCAGCAGCTGCTCCTGGAACATGGAATGCTATGGAAGAGTCAGAAAACAACGTTATAATGTCATATGTAAAATTCATCAACAACTTCTCACTCATGTCATCGACTGACGTGTTTTTGTTACAGAATACCTCAAGTTTTTGGTCAGTTTTGGAATTTGGCGTTGTGATTGCTCGACACGCTCCATATTTTGGTTTAACTGTCATCTTACCCTGCGTAAGCAGATTTTTTTCTGTTTTGATTAATGATTTTATAATCTTCCAAAAAGTTAAAATCTAATCATACGATTATAACCCTATAAACTTAAACCTTTGAACTCAAATTACATAAAGTTTTTTAATGGATTCTAAAAAATGACTTGTCTCTTTTGTGGCAAAAAAGCTGTAAAATCGAAAAAGAAAAATTATACTGTTTAATTAAAAGATTAAACTTGAAACAAATTGCAAATGATAGAATTTATAACTCTTCTTATACACTTAGAGGTGATTTTAGAATTCTTTTGATGATTAAAGTCCTACTGCGGGGTAAATGTAAGTAAACTCCAAAAAGACATCTGTAAACCTTGGCACTAAAAGTTTTGCCTACAACAGTCGGCGAACAATATCTGCAAAAAAACTAACTTTTCCATCAAAATTTTCAATTCAAGAATAATGTGTTGAAGTCAAAAAAAGGCAGTAGCAGTAAAAATTATTATAAAATCACGCAAATTTCTTTTTTTTACAGTAAACGAGAAAAGCCACTAACTTCCGTATTTAACGACGACAAAATACATGTAAAAAAAGTTATAAAAACCATGTAACAGATTAAAATTATGTGTATTTTCCTTCCCTACTGTTGGCTTCATTGAACAGTTTAAAAATAAGCATGCAAAAATTTTTGTTAGTTCAGAAGAGTTCAACGCCACCATCATTTCTTTGTTTTTTTATTCACAAAATAATGCATTCCAAAAGTGAAGACAGAAGTTAACTTATTGCTAAATAAACACGTAAAATAAAGCTCATCCCTAAGTACATCCAGCGACGCATTTACGATCAAACTGTCCCAATTGTTTCAGTCTTATTCCTTTTCCCTAGTAATACTGTAAATACAAAACTATAAAAGGCATTAATTTATTGTTTAATGTCTTTCGCCTATATTTTCGACAGTAAACAGCAAAAATCTTTCCTTTTGGTTCTCTCGGCTTCAGAAATCCACTTAAAGTTTGAACCATTACAACCATTATTCGACTTTAGGCAAATGTTTTTATAAACCAATTCCTAACAGAAAAAAAATTAAAGTTTAAAATCACACTTCATATTTAGATATTCGTTAGCCTATTAACATTGACGGCATTCTGGATTGATACTTTATCGCTGGCAACAGCAATTATTGTCTTCAGCATTCTACTGCAAGGTCTGTTCGGATGGGATCTGATTAAATCGTTACCACCAGGAAGTGGTGGGATACCAAAAATAGGTACTGTTTACAGATATTTCTATAAAACTATACGAATCTGCTGAAATCAGTCAGTTGAGTAGAAATCTCACACAAATAGCACAAAAGAACGTCTGAAATCTACGTCTAAATTTAAACTTATCTAAAAAAGACCTTCGCACCAATATTTGAATGAGAGAAGCTATCACAAATGAGGTAAAGCCTAATTTGTAATAGCTTCCCTCATTTGAATTTTGGTGTGTAAATAATGTGCAAAATATCATTCACTTTAGTTTTTACAGCATGCCGATGGCCTAATATCTCCCTTAGTGGGAAAGAGAGTATCAGTCGAAAAAATAAATGTCTTACCCAAATATTTCTCTACCTCATAGGACAATAAGTGGGACAATATATATATATATATATATATATATATATA